TTAATATAAATAATTTGATTATATACTCTTTCTAAATTAGTGATCTACCAACGTAATGATTTCAACAAGCTTTGTTGTTATAATCAATAAGTAATCAAATTTTGTGCAGGAAGACATCCTCCAAATCTTTCGGTGACTGGCAACATTCTAATCAATGGGAAGAAGAGAAGCTTATACTCCACAGAAGTGGTAAGATATATAATAAGAGGAAAATTATATTTACAAATTTTTACAAACTACACTATATCTTACGGTAAGATACTTTTAAGTGAAATCTTACCGGTAAGACATAGTATAGTTAGTAAATTTGTAAATAAAATTTTTTGTCAATATAACCGTCCTCATATAATAAATATAAAATGATAGTAATAATTTTATCCTTTTTCTTTGTTTACTTATAATATCCACTTGATGAGTGGTTTCAGTCATACGTAGCTCAAGAGGAACTTTTCTTGGGAACTTTGACAGTAAGGGAAACACTCACATTCTCAGCAAACATGAGGCTTCCTTCTAAAATGACCAAAGAAGAGATAAATAAAGTGGTGGAAGAAACATTAACGGAAATGGGTTTGGAAGAATGTGCTGATAATAAGATTGGGAATTGGCATTCACGTGGGATAAGTAATGGTGAAAAGAAGAGGCTTAGCATTGGCCTTGAGATTTTGACACAACCCCATGTCCTACTTCTTGATGAACCCACTAGTGGACTTGATAGTGCTTCAGCTTTCTTTGTGATCCTAGCTCTTAGGAACATAGCTCGTAATGGAAAGATAATTACTTGTTCCATTCACCAGCCATGTAGTGAAACTTATAATCTCTTTGATGATTTGCTTTTGCTTTCAAATGGGGAAACTGTTTATTTTGGAGAAGCAAAGATGGCTCTCAAGGTAAATAATTTTACTACACAGCCAAAAGAGAGTCCAATAAATTTAGGAATATGTTATTTTATCTACTTATTTTTTATGCTTACTTTATTTACCACTCTCTAACATTGTTAGATCAAAATCTCAACTAATCTTTATCGTTTTTCTTTTCTCTTAAGATTCTGATCTAACGGTATTAGAGAGTGGTAAATAAGGCAGGCATGAAAAATAAGTAGGTAGAATAATCTATCCGTTGGAAATTTTAAGTCACTAAATAAAGTATTGGAAATAGTTTTTTGCTGATGCAGGATTCCCTTGTCCTACTAGAAGAAATCCTTCAGATCATTTCCTTCTGTTTACTAATCTAGACTTTGACTTGATTACTACAACACTAGCAAGAACAAAACCAAGTGTGGTAAGTGAGACTTTGAGCTTTTTTTTTTTCTTTTTTCTATTGAGAATGCTTTTGAATGTGAATTTCAATTTCATCATTGACAGTTGGGAATTTCATCATCCAATCCAGCAAAGGGAATGAGAACAGCAGATATTAGAAGGACACTAGTTGGGAGATATAAAAGTTCAGAGCTAATCATCAATACAAGAAAAAGAATTCAACAACTAAAACTCAATGTAATAATGTGTTACTCAGTATTTATCATTCATAGTTATAAGTGTTTTTTTACACAATTTTTGTCTTTCATTATCTTACATTTATCTTTATCTACTTCTGAACACCAATTTACTGTTTACCAATCACAAGATAAGTTAGAATGAAGCATAGAAAAATTCTCTTCCTTCATGAAACCTGCATAAGACCTTCTTCTAGAGAAAAAACCAAGAATGAATCCAATCAATGATATCCATTATCCAACAATTCATTTTATGCATCAAACCATTTAAAAAAAATAATATATTTCCCTTTTCGTCTCTCCTTTTTTTTAGACAATTTATTCTATATTATACTGAGATGAGAGATGCAAAGTTACAGGGAAAGCAAGAAATTGAGTCCAACATAAGTAGCAGTACCTCATGGTGGAAGCAACTTTGCACATTAACCAAGCGATCTTTCCTAAACATGACTAGGGATATTGGATACTACTGGCTGAGGATAATGTTCTACATAATGGTAGCAATCGGTATTGGCACCCTCTTTTTTCATATTGGCACAGACAACAACTCAATTTTGAGTAGAGGAAAGTGTGTATCATTCATCTACGGGTTCATGAGTTGTTTATCATGTGGAGTGTTACCATTTTTCATTGAAGAATTGAAGGTAAAGAATTGATCCTTTTACTTAAAAAATGTTACAAAAATTCATACTGTATTTTGTTGTCTATCTAATCTCAATCAAAATCAGGTGCTATATGGTGAAAGGTCCAAAGGGCATTATGGAGAGGCTGCATTTGTACTATCAAACATTATATCATCATTCCCTTTCCTACTCCTGATGTCGCTCTCCTCAGGAATAATTATTTACTTCATGGTGCAATTTCATCCTGGTTTAACTAATTATGCATTTTTCTGCATCAACTTATTTTGCTGCCTATCTGTTGTGGAGAGCTGCTTCATGGTTGTAGCTGCTGTGGTGCCTAATGTCCTAATGGCCATAGGAACAGGAGTTGCTGTAATAGTAAGCAGATAAATTTCTTTTTCCTTTTTTTTTTTTAATAATTTCTCCACCGGTTGATTTAATCTTATCCGAGCTTTGTCGGATCCATATAGGGGTGGCTCTCCCACCACTATTTTTTTTCATTATCAGGACTCGAACTTGAGACCTTTGGTTGAAGGGAACAAACTACTTATTAGTCAAACCAATCGGTGTTGGAGTAGATAATTTTCTCTACTCCTCAAATGTGATTGTTTGTAAGAACTAGATGATTTATTTGATTGATGGTTTCTGTAGGTTTTCATGATGATGTCCTCCCAAATATTCAGACCATTACCTGATATTCCAAAGTTCTTTTGGCGTTATCCCATGTCCTACCTCAGTTTTGCTACTTGGGCAGTGCAGGTGCAATGTTCAGCATTGTTTTGCTAATCAAATTCTGAATGATATCCATCAAAACCTAAAGCAAGACTAAGAATATACTTGGGCATAACATTGTGCTTTCTACAGTACTAAAAGGAAGTTTAAATAAGCTCCAATTGCTAGTACTAAAACATTGATGATGAAATTCTCCCTTCTGCTGTTTAATACCTTGAGATGTTCTTTTTTTAATAACAGGGACACTACAAGAATGACATGCTGGGGCTTGAATTTGATCCTCTGCTACCTGGGGACCCAAAAGTTACTGGAAAACAAGTCCTAACGTTGGTATTTGGGGTTCCATTGAATCATGACAAATGGTGGGACTTAACAGCATTGGTTACCTTATTAGTAGTTCACAGATTGCTTCTTTTCTTAGTGCTTCGGTATAACAAAAGACCTAAATCACCCGTGCTGTGGTTTTTATGCCAAGGAAGGTTTACACTTTGCAGAAAGATGTTTACTCAGTAACAAGCCATCTATGATTGATTTCAAGCAACAAGAAGCTCAACATCCATTATTGTCTCAAGAGGGTGTTAATTATGTCCCCAAACATTGCAATTTTACACTTTGATATAGAGATGAAAGTTAGGTTTGAGAATTTGTGACATTGTGAGCCATTATTTTGCAAAGTAATCAATGTGCATCCTTGATTTAAACCTGTTTTGATCAGTTCATCTCATTAAGGGCTTGCCCTGGACCCAAAAAAGTTGGATAATAATAATTTTTAAAATTGGATCATAATCAATCAGGAATAGTAGGCATGTTTTGTGCTAGGCCCTTGCTGCGTGCATGTATATTTCAAGGATTTCAAAATTAAAATTTCAAAATCTTCTATGCAGAACAGACGATTCATCAAATGAAATTGGAAGAGCTCGAACGCTTGCAGACTTCCAATGAACGCTTGCAGACTTCCAATGAAAGGAAAAGCTTTTTATCTCTAACTTTTACGGTCATCAACTCATGGTCAATGGGATCTTTAATGATACAAGTCATATGTTTGAACAAGAATATTATTATTTTCAAGTATTTGTCGTGCATTGTCATCATCTCCACCATTGCTTTCTTTTTTTAAACTCTATTGAAATCATCACTCACCTGCTATAACCAAGTCCAATCACCTCCCCTCAATCCTTAACTTGCCTGACAGTTGGATGATGACTATCTTGAGTTATAGTTCATCGTCTCACCAGTCACTCTTATATTAATCTATGGGAAGAACAATTTTGCAGTTGCTACAGAAATTTTTATGTGTTACACATTTTGTACTCAGCGGAATACATAGGCAAATTTCTTGACACAAACTGTATTGCAGGGGATCCATTTTTTTTTTTTTTTGTGAGAGTGACAGACAAACTTTTATGCAACAACTGCAAAAAAATTAAACCCTCACACTTTATGTGAAACATCTCCCCCTAGGATTTGGACAAGGTTTCCTCCTTAGTTCTCCCTATCTCTACTACTCTAACATTCTTAGGCATTTCGACCCATATAAAGCGAAATAGTAAATAATATATCCATTTAATTCTTTTGGTAAACAATTTATCAATCTAATGGGAAAAGACACTATTATAAAAATAAAATAAAAATAAAAAATGGGAAAAGACACTAATGAGTTTCATGCACATTCCACGAAATGACAAATAGAGACGTATACAGGAAAGCACCGCATCTTGCACTGCCTAATTTACAACAGGAAAACAAATAAAGCAAATCAATCGATGAGTATCTTAGGTTCATTTAGATGCTGATAATACAAACAAACCGATTGACAGAAAGAAAATAAATAACAGATATTGTCTGTTAGAGAGAGGGAGAGAGAGAAGATATCTTCTGGTGGTGGGGGCACTTGGTTTTCTAATCACCTTGCACATTTATGCACAAAAGGCTAAATTAAACATTACACATAAACAATCCAGGGAACACGAATGAAAAGTTAAAACTGATTTCAAACAATTAATTCATGTAAAAGCCTTAAAAAAAAGGAAATAATAAATGGATCAGTCATTCCAGTTTGCATGATGATATGAGCAAAATCTCTACCGGTGTCACGACTCACTTCACTCACCACTATGTCATTAGCGAGAAATTCATTCCAATCCATTCCTCAAAAGGCTCGCCCTTTAATTGAATTCGAAAATATATATACTGGACAATCAAAACTATAATATTGATTGGCAACTCCACTTGTACAATCTATGAAGTAGCTAATTAGCTCAAGGAAGAATAGTTGTCACATGTCAACATTAACAGCACTATTTAGCTGGTCAATTTGGAAAGCAAAATTGAATCACAGAATGAGGGAATCGCCCTCTAATGTTTTACCTAAAACTATTTATTCGCTTCAATGAATTCTTTGTATTCTCTCTTCATTTTGACACCTGAGACAGTCCTGTAAAATTGGCGTACAACTGTTAGCAGTTCACAGTCGGCAAGAATATCCATTAAGAAAATCTATAACAATGGCCTCTCAGTCTCTAACAACACAGATACAATTTTCAGTTTAGTCAGTTTCATTTGTATATTTATCAAATTATATAATAAATGGATTTGGGATATATACAAAATTGCCCAATTACTTTTATAATGAATATTTAATGTTACTTCAGCTTAGACTTTTCCACCCTCTCTTTACAAACAAAGTAGCATTTCTTAAGTGGTGCACAATTTGAATTAAAATTACTCATGATGTACAAAACAATCAATGGATAGATGTTGGAGTTCAATGTCGAATAGTTGTTAATTTGATTCTGCCAGTATGTTGTTGATAAACCTTTAGTTTATCTTGTTTAATGGACTAAAATAATATGAATTATCTAGTTGAACAAGTCAAAAATTAGGGTTTTAAAATGATAATCATGAACATTATCTGATTGTTGGAACTAATTAATATATTTGTTATTTTTAAAGGGATTTTTGATAACAAATGATTCAAATATGAAGATTTAGATAAAGAGAGATCAAATCAGAAAAGAAGATGAATCAAGGTGAAAACAATAAGATTGAAGATCTTATCAAGTTGTTAGAAGTGGGAGCTTAAGCCCCCATTCACAAGCTTAAGCGCCCAGACAAGTCCAACTTAGGCCCATTCAAGTTTTCTACTGCAATACGAACTCTTGATCTATTTAAACACCATTGGGGACCAGAAATACATAACTTTTACATTGCTAAACAACTCTTGGGTGCTCGGAGGCTGAAGGAACGCGGAGGAACATCAGATTCATGTTCGTGAGGGGCGGAGACGGATCAACGTCAAGTGTTCACTGGAGATATTGAAGATCCACCAATCACTTATGGAGTTTGGGGGAGCTTTTCTATTTTCTTTTGTTCTTGATTTTGCCATGTCCGGCTAGTTCTTTAAGTAGTTAGGGTTAGATGGATTTTAGTCGATTTATTATGCTTTGAATAATTCGTACGTTAATTTTCCTTTTTATCATGAATGAAGTTATCTGTTTTTAATGCTTTATATAGGCTTGAATCTTATATAATGATCATCGGTAAATGCATGACAATAGGGATGTTGGTGTGTGACCCATATCTGATAACTTCATCGTAAACGCTATGATTCTAGGGATAGACATAGAATTTGCGTAACCTTAAGATTCTTGAACTTAATGCTTGCATTCTTGGGGAATAACCGGGGAACTAGGGTTCTTTCAAGTTTGTAAAGGTTTTAGGGTAACAAGGGATTGAGCTCTAATAACACGCGAAAGAATTGGTTAGATTGATATTAAGGACGGTTAACGTAAAGAAGGACTTCGAATCATAATAAGGAGATTAAAGGAAATCGAACCCCTAGCTACGTTTTTATTTTATTAGTTAAATCACATCTTTAATTTCTTGTCTTTAATTCTTGCAAGTAATTAGCTTAATATTTAATATTTTAATTTTGCAATTCAAATCCTGTTTCCAAATACACTTTCGATTGTCCAACTAAGTTTGCGATAGTGAATTAGTGCTTGAACCGTAATCCTCGTGGGAACGATCTCTTACTTAATCATATATTACTTGTACGATCGGTGCACTTGCCGTGAGTAGCAACAGTTGTGTAGCTGACGTTAATAGAAAGTTTCATATATAAAGTTTCATATATCACATGCAATCAAGTATTTGCCGTAGTTATCTCCTTTCCCCTCATACCTGGCAGTCTATTTCCGTTAGATAACAATTAAATGGGATAGAAATGAAGGTAAAATTAGTATGTGTTTCGAAACACAGACCAAACCGAACAGCTCAACCAAAAAGCCAGTGAACTAGCCAGGCTTTGCTGCTTGACACGTTTGCCAGGTATATCCTTGATAGACCCCAGTTGAATGTGAGAGAAAGATGTAAACTTAGTGTTTAAAAACACAGATTGAACCAACCTGTTCAACCTAGCCAGAGCAATTTCCAGGGAGACAAAACCCAATCATCAGATCAATGGGTTTTCATATCTAATTATCTATGTATGCAAAAACTGATATATAATACTTATCTACAATGAATAACTTAAATTCTTATAAAATAGAAGAAATCAAACACATTTTAACTTTAGTCTTCATTTTAAAAAATTTCAAAACTGAATTCTTATTTTGTTTTGACAATGCGTTTATTTATCTAACAATTATTTGTTATACACACACTAGTATGACCCTAGTTCAATTCCCTTTACCGGTTTCTTAACATTGCTCAGTTGAGCCATCTCGTTTTAGATTGCGCATGGTGATAAGTTCAGAACTTACCGTTTCTCAAAGATGTCCAAAAGCAACTTCGAAAGATGTTTCACAACATGCCGCATGAGCAACTATTGCCGGAATAATGCAGTAGAACAGCAATCAAAATGAATACAAGAAACGCTCCATAAGCATAGAAGTGTTGTTCAAATGAAACCCTATAGTAGTAATTTATGGAAGCAGGAGACCAAAACATTTTATAGAACAACAGTAATTTGTAACCTTTGCGTAGCATAGAAGAATGAAGGCTACACACTGACACTCTCTTATCTATTAGCCTAAGCGTCTTCGCTAACTCGCTTGCCTACTATAATATACCCTACTATACAATACATTAGTAGGGTAGGCTAACCAATAGGTCCTTAGTAGCGCTGACAAAGAAGAACAGCCGGTTAAAAGACAGTCTGCAATGTTGTATGAAGATGAATGTTGGCCAGCACATAGGCAATATGAACATAAAATGGGAGTAACAGAAATGAGGATGTTAAGGTGGATGTGTGATTCTACGAGGATAGATAAGATAAGAAATGAAGATATTCGACGGAAGGTAGGAGTAGTACCAGTGACTGAAAAGATGAGAGAACATAGATTAAGGTGGTAGAACAAAAGTTTGTAATCAAGCGCTCGACACAAAGAGAGGTAGAGGTAGACTGAAACTTACTTGGAGGAAGGTAGTAAAACAAGACTTGATGGAGTGAGATATAGATTGACGGACGACGTGTCTTAGGACGGAATGGAGAAAAGCTATAAGAATGGTGGAGGGTTAGACCCGTTGTTATTCCTATGTTTCTAGATTGTCCCTTTTTAGTCATTTTCCTCCTCGTCTTCCCCCCTCCTTCTTTTCCCCTTCTTTTCCCCTTCCCCATCTTTTTTTTTTTTTTTCTTGCTTATTTATTTATTTTTTCCACACCTTTTTTATTTTTGCTTTTATATTTATTTATTATTTTATTTTATTTTTTGTCTTACTTTCTTACTCTTTTTTTGCCCTCGTATGTATCTCTATCTTTCGTTTACCTTAATATACTTTCCCTTTTAATTGTTTACCTCTTTATATATATATATATATATATATATATATATATATATATATATATATATATATATAGGGGCGGGATCTTTTGATACTGGTGTCAAATTTTGAAATTTGACATCAATCATTGATTTACGCCAATCAAACTTATTAATTAATTATTAATTCTCAATAAATGATAATTGTTAATTGGTGGAAATCAACAGTTAGGATTTGGTGTCAAATTTCAAAATTTGACCCGAATGTCAAATGATCTTATCAAATATATATATACACACACTTAAATTTCATTTTTTATCTTTTTTCAATCTCTTCGTATTTTTCATTTGGATTCATCTATCACCGACCAAAATTAATTTGGGATAAAGATGTTGATGTTCAGGAGACCAAAACACACAACGACAAGAAGCACGGTGACAATAATAACTAGCCTCAAGACATGTGTTTGATAATAAGAGAAAGTAGAATAGTTTTGAAACTTCAAAAAACTCATTTCTGAAACATATATATTAGAATGGATAATAAATTATAAAAATAGAATAAGAGCACGAAAGATAAATTAAAACCAACCTAAGCATCTCCTTGTTTTTGAAAAACTGGACACATGGTGTACCCATGATTCCAGCTGCTTCTGCTATTTCTGCATCTTCCTCTATATCAATTTCAATAAAATGTACGTTCTGATCAAATTCATCAATCACCTGCCATGTGAGATGTTAGAAAAAGTTAAAACATTGTTTAGTGTTCAATTTATTGTTTAAAATGCTCGACTAGACATGGAAGGTAAAGTAGTCCCATTTAGTTCCTATGTCAAGCATCAGAACAGTGTTAATGTATTCTCTAAAATTACTATTGGCAGTCTGATAGGATCTGGAAAAATGTATCAAAGATAGCGCACAAACACCAAGGAAATGGCCTAGAATCAATCTGGATTTTCTGTAAATTGAACTAAAAAAGACAATTACAATGAATACAAAAAAACAGCAATGGAACAGAAGAAAATTACAATGGAAAAGGAAGAAAAACAAAAGATAATTTCAGAGCAATTAGAGAGTGCTCTGGTTCTCTCCCAATCTGGTTTCCCAGCCCAAGTCCCAAGTTCCAATCTGAATCCTTCTCCACACCCCTCCACCCCTTTTATTCCTTCTAACAACCTTGCCTCCTCAGCAATTCTTCTAGAATATACTAACTAACAAACTTGTCATACTCCAATAATCCCCTATAACTCTTCCTAGCTTATACCTTTAGGAGCATCCTATCAATACCCAAAACACTCACCTTGCCCTCAAGGTGAGGTTCATCCCTCCAAATCCTTCCACCGGGATCCCATTGCTTGAATTGTAAACCCCGTATATGTCTGAAGTATGATAATGGTTAGATGAGTCCCCACATAATACCATTTCCTTGCCAACCATCGCAAGTTTTAAGATAAGCTGATTAAAATCAGCCCCGAACTCTCCTAAACTATGCAATTCCAAAATTACTTCAGCACCGCTTAATTCAAAGATGAAACCTGGTTGCCCACCTTAGTGGCTTGACTCATGTCCTTAGGCATGTCACCTAGTTTCCCAGTGTTTGAAAAACTCACGTGCTTGGCACCTGAGTTGTTAATTGAGCTTTTTCTACAACCAGTTGATGTGCCTTGAGTGAACATATTGGGTTGAAACACACTGTTAGGCCCATTTCCTTTGCTATCAATTCCGAGCCCAAACCCAATGTTGACCCAAGCGGAATTTCCCTTCTCCATCACTGTGTTTTCCCGCATATTCTTCTCCAAGTTGGCATGTGTGGGCTTATTTTCGTTCCCAGACTAGCCCAAGTTGAATAAGTGAGGCACGTGATTGGTGTGTGACACACTTGAAGCTCCTTTGGAGGGCTGATTAGTGCAGCCCAACCCAATTCCTTTACCAGCCCAAGTCACCCCAAAGCCATCAGCCACCCAAGATGCGTTTCTTCTCTCCAACAGCCATGTCTCCCTCATCGTCTCCGATAGCGAGTCCAGGTTACTCTGCATCAGCCCCGTTCGAGGCCTATTGCAAACCCCATGCAACCACATTTCCTTCATCGTCGTCTCGTTTGTAAATTCACGGTATGGACCCCCAACGACCAAAAGCTGAAATCTGTCCTTCACCGTCTCTTCCTCGTTCTTCGTCGTCTCGTTTGTAAATTCCTGATATGGACTCCCAACGACCTCAAGCTGAAATCTGTCCTTCATCGTCTCTTCCTCGATCCTCACATCAGATTCCAAGGAGTCATGACTTCCTCGGTGAGAACGTCCCCTTCGCAACTTGTGATGCAATTCGTTCTGAGTGAGCCGCCTACCATCAACCCTAGTTGCGCTGCTCCTAGAACTCTCCACGAGCTTGGTATTCGCCAAAGAAACCTCTGAGTTCACACCATTTGGGCAGTAGCACGCGTGTCTTTTTCCACGGTATTAGCTGAGGCACGTGAGTCACTGGGGCTACCATGGTGACTTAAGTGAGTCACGTGCTTTGTAGAAGCGCCCTGATTATTGCGAATAGGTTGGGCTGTTCGACTAAGCCCACTACGTCTTCCCTCAACCCCAAATCCATATTGGAACCCAGCCTCGTTTCTCGTTGCCAACACACTCGTCAACTTCGTCATCTTCTCTGTCAACGCAGCTGGTTTCTGCAACAGCTCCGTTCGATAGCTTTCTACAACGTCCCCACCAAGGCCTCGAGGAGGCTCCAGCTTAGGAGTTAACCAATCAACAAGGTGAACGTCTTTGTTGACACTCTCTTCTGATTTCGACGATTCTGATCTCCTTCTACAAGAAAGACCATGACGATGATGTTCTCGACTAGATCTTCTCCTGCTTCGCAAAAGATGCTCGATCTCATTCATTTTTGTTCTGTTCTACAGAAACGTTCTTCTGTTTTCTCCTCACTTCTCCTCATCATCTCTTCTATGATCTCCAAACGAATTTCCATGGCGCACAACAAACTGTTCAAAGCACCCCTAGGATCGGAGTGCTCTGATACCAATTGATAGGATCTGGAAAAATGTATTAGAGATAGCGCACAAACACCAAGGAAATGGCCCAGAATCAATCTGGATTTTCTGTATATTGAACTAAAAAAGACAATTACAATGAATACAAAAAAACAGCAATGGAACAGAAGAAAATTACAATGGAAAAGGAAGAAAAACAAAAGATAATTTCAGAGCAATTAGAGAGTGCTCTGGTTCTCTCCCAATCTGGTTTCCCAGCCCAAGTCCCAAGTTCCAATCTGAATCCTTCTCCACACCCCCCACCCCTTTTATTCCTTCTAACAACCTTGCCACCTCAGCAATTCTTCTAGAATATACTAACTAACAAACTTGTCATACTCCAATAATCCCCTGTAACTCTTCCTAGCTTATACCTTTAGGAGCATCCTATCACAGTCCCACACTTCTTAGCCTCTATTGGGTGCTCAGATGATGGCTGTTAGAGTGGTTTCTCTCGTTTGACAAGCACAGAGACTAGGGAACTTTGCTCAGTTGATGAGCTTTTCTTCTTTGTTCAGGTTTTTGTATTCCTTGGTTTCTTTTAAGAAGGATATTGCATCCACTGTTTTTAGTTGTTCATTGTTTCTCTTCTCCAACATTTTTTTCCTTATATATATATATATAAACGCAATAATCTGCATACTTCTCAATGCCATATGCAACATAGTTAATTTTGAAAAAAAAGGAAAAAAGAAATCTACATTTATGTCAGAAGCCTACTGTATATTCATACTTTCAGTGTTAAATTCATTTCCCCAGAACTGGCTTAAAAGAAGAAAACAAAGGAGATGCAGACGAGAGTGATCAATAACCGTAAGTATTACAACATCTGATCTAAGGATCATGACATGACTTTATGTCCTCATTTCTCACATACCTTACTTAGAATTGGCTTTAGTGTCCTACATGGACCACACGTTGGTGCTGTATATATTACGCATATAAGCCTTGGACTATCATGATACAATTTTCGTAGAGCATACTGCAAAGAGGAAGTCACATGGAGAAAAAATTACAATACAAAAATTGAAAGAGACTGATTGAATGTAAATAATGCTAGGACTTAATCCCATTATTATCACATCGTAAGGAAGCACATACCTGTCCCTTATGCTTTGTACGTGTAATGTCAAAGCCCTCTTGAACATCTCTGTCTGTAAGTTCCTTCTTAACCTCTTCAGTTTTGGGCTGTTACAAGTAATAAAATTGTAATGCTTAGATTCATATTGGAATATGCTGCATGAATCAACAGATTTAATGTCGAGATTTCCCCAATATTGCTTAGAACTTAAAACCTATGACTAAATGGAAAAGTTGGGATATTACACGATAAGCATTATCATTCTGTAAGAGGGATTACTCTGATACCCACATTATTTTCAAGGGTACTGATCTTCAAGGTGAGTTGTCAAATATTTATTGGAAGTTCGTTATATTTAATGGAATTCTAAAAATTTATTATGAAACTACCAGCCAATAAATATTTGACAATTTACCCTAAGTACAATAACCATAAGGTACCATTGCAACTTGCTTCTCTATGTTATTGATATTAACTTTCAATCATGTCCTTCCTAAGCTTAACTAGATTCTATGCTTAACTTTATTATCAAATAACAATTAAATACACTATCTTTATGCATACTAGTAATTTATCCAATTTATACAATATCAAGCTTTTACAATTAACTATATGTTGAACAATTCCAGCTGCTTCTATGGGTCTTAAAAGAATAGTGTTAGAATATTAGATATAATATGATTAGATTTGATTAGATATGATTGGATTCTGTCTTATCCGTAAATAGTCTGACTGTATTCTGACTGTATTAGGATTAGGTTTGGATTAGGTTTGGGCCTTACACTTAAGCCCATTAGGGTCTCTATATATTGTAACTCCCTGACACAGATCTATACACAACGTATTCTTTTACATTTAACTTGGTATCAGAGCTATTTCGTTCTGGGAACCCTCGCTTCCGCTTAGAAATCTTGTTCTTCGCTTTAAAACCTAAGCCCACTGCTTAGGAGTCATCTTTTCTTTGCCGTGCGTCCTTCCGGTAAGATATCAAAGGCTGTAAGTCCTCTCCAGGCATCTTCTGCACGTGTCCACAGTCACCGGAGCACCGTCAGCCACCGTCAGCCACTGTTCAGGCTGCCGGAGTACTTTTCCGGCGAGTTTTCAGTCTGGAACGAACGCGAACAGAACCCTCTCCTCCCGGCGACCTGCTCTGTGGAAGTCCGGCCACCATCGGAGTTGTCACGCGCTCTCACGCGCCTCCAGTCTTCTCTGCGCGTGGGCTTCACGCGCCACCTTCTGCCGGCGCGTGAGCACTATTCCGGCGGCTTTTTCCGGCCGGTCTTGGACAGAGAAGCTCGTCTTCTCCTCCTCTTTCTGGATCTGTGGTTGGTTCTTTGTGGGTCTGACTTTTTGTGCGCACCTCTTCTTGATTGGTGATCAGGTTCGTTTCTCTTTTTTCGGTTTGTATCTTTGTGATTTGATATGGCAGCAAACCCTCCAATTCATTCGGAGGTCAAGTCTTCATCTCCTCCTTTGAGAAATTCTCCCAATATCATCTCTACCAATATTGGGTCCATTACCTCTTCAAAATTGAAGGGATCTGTTAATTACAAGAACTGGGCCACCTCTGTTCGAGTTTGGTTCTTTGGACAAGGATATGGGAACCATCTCACAACTAAGTCTACTGATGTCCCTAAGGAGGACAAGTCTGATTGGGAAAAGATTGACAACCAACTTCTGAGTATCCTCTGGCAATCCATTGATCCGATTGTCTTGGATATCTTTTATTCATTTCAAACTTGCACTGAAGTGTGGGAGGAAGCAAAAAACCTCTACACTAATGATGTTCAGCAGCTCTATTTCATCATCTCTCAGTTTATGGAATTGAGCAAATCATCCGACATTCAAATGGAGACATATATTGGCAAGAGTCGCTCTTTGATGCAGGCATATTTGGATATGCTGCCTTACCCTACTGATGCTACTGCATATCGGAAACAGGTGGAACGTCTCTTTATGGTTGCCACACTTTCTGGCCTTCCCGAAGAATATGATAATGTTCGTGATACTATCTTGACTAGTGGGGAGCCTGATCTATCCATGACGTATCAGCGTCTTCTGAATTTGAATAAGAAATCTGCTCCTGCATCGTCTTCTGCTGTTGATTCTACTGCTCTAGTTTCCCGTACTGATTTTCGCGGGCATATTGGAGGTGGACGTGGTCGTGGTAGAGGCCCAGGAGGCCGGGGCCCAGGAGGATGTAGCCCAGGAGGTCGTGGCCCAGGAGGCCCAGGAGGTCCAGTCGGACGTGGTCAGCGACCTCGTTGTCATTACTGTCAGCAACTTGGTCATTATGAGGAACGCTGCTACACCAAGTATCCTCACATGCGACCTTCTTTTGCTGCTAATGTAGCTCAATCGGATACTGCTTCAAATGGTTCAGTCTCTCTCTCCTCTGAAGAATATGCAGCATTCCAGGCCCTTCTCAGGAAGTCCTCTCCTCAATCTCAGGCCTCTGCTTCAGAAACTGGTAATCCTGTTGCTTGTGTTTCTCATTCTGCATCACTTGGTCCTTGGATATTTGACTCAGGTGCTACTGATCACCTCTGTGGTAATAAGGAACTTTTTTCTTCCCTTACATATTCTAATAATTTACCCTCTTTTACTCTTGCTGATGGAACTAAGGCCCCCGTTCATGGGATTGGACAAATCTGTCCAACCTCCTCATTGACCTTGACATTTGTCCATTACATTCCTCACATCCCTTATAATTTAATATCGGTTAGTAAATTGATCAATTCTCTTAATTGTATTGTCACATTCTCAAACCATTATGTTTCTGTGCAGGACCCGGGTACGGGGAAGATGATTGGAGTGGGCCGTGAGTCACGGGGTCTGTTCTACCTTGATGTGCCGAGTCCTTCAGTTGCTTGTTCTCTCACAGAATCTCCACTGCTCATCCACAGTCGTCTCGGGCATCCTAGTCTTGCGAAATTGCAGAAGATGGTTCCTCTTTTATCCGGTCTTCAAACTTTAGATTGTCAGTCATGTCAGCAAGGAAAGCACATACGCTCCTCCTTTGCTAATCGAGTCAATAAACGAGCTGATGCTCCTTTTTCAATTATTCATTCAGATGTTTGGGGTCCTAGTCGTAGTGTGTCTATTTTAGGTTTTCGGTATTTTGTCACCTTTATTGATGATTTCTCCCGTTGTACTTGGATTTATTTAATGAAAAACCGCTCTGAGTTGTTTTCTATTTATCAAAAGTTTTCTGCTGAAATTCATACTCAATTTGGTGCTTCTATTCGTATTTTACGTAGTGATAATGCTAAGGAGTATGTTTCTGTTGACTTTTCTCACTTCTTAGCCACACAGGGTACTTTACACCAAACCACTTGTCCTCACACTCCACAACAAAATGGAGTAGCTGAACGTAAGAATAGACATCTCATTGAGATTGCCAGGACTCTTCTTATTCACATGCATGTTCCTCTTCACTTCTGGGCTGATGCAGTCCTTGCTTCTTGCTTTCTCATCAACCGCATGCCTTCATCTGTGCTTAATAATGATATTCCTCATAACTTATTGTTTCCAGATGTTCCTCTCTTTCCTCTATCCCCACATGTTTTTGGTTGTACCTGTTTTGTTCATGATCTCACTCCTGGTAAGGATAAGTTAACATCCAAAGCCTTTAAATGCATTTTTCTTGGTTATTCTCGTCTTCAAAAGGGTTATCGCTGTTACTCTCCTGACCTCAAGCGTTACTTAGTTTCCGCGGATGTCACCTTTTTTGATCAACAACCCTTTAATTCTATCCCATCTCCATTGTCACAGGTTGATCATGTTCTTCATGTTCCTTTTCTTGACTTGTCTTTGCCAGATGCAGGTGCTTCTACTCCAGATAAGCCATCACCTATTGCTCCAGTACCTAAGGACCGTCCACTTCTCACTTATCAGCGTCGTAAGACAGTACCTCCAGTCGACTCGACCCCTGCTGACTCATTGCCCTCTGCAGTTGATTCTTCCCCTCCGGATCCTTCACCAGAGGCTCTTCCCATTGCTCAAAGAAAAGGTACACGTACTACTCGTAACCCTTATCCTCTTTATACCTTCTTGAGCTATGATCGCCTTTCTGCTCCTCATTTCACCTTTGTTTCTAGTCTTTCTTCTGTTTCTATTCCTAAGACCACAGGTGAAGCACTTTCCCATCCAGGATGGCGCCAAGCGATGCTTGATGAGATGACCGCACTTCATACCAATGGCACTTGGGACCTTGTTTCTGCTCCTCCAGAGAAGTCTATAGTTGGTTGTCGCTGGGTGTTTACTGTGAAAGTTGGACCTGATGGCCATGTTGATCGTCTCAAGGCACGCCTAGTTGCCAAGGGTTTTACTCAAATCTTTGGCCTTGATTATAGCGATACATTCTCTCCAGTCGCTAAGATGGCGTCCGTCCGCCTATTTCTTGCCCTTGCTGCTGTTCGTCACTGGCCACTCCTTCAACTTGACATCAAAAATGCCTTTCTTCATGGTGATTTACAAGAAGAAGTTTACATGGAGCAACCACCTGGTTTTGTTGCTCAGGGGGAGTCTGGGAAGGTATGTCGTCTTCGAAAATCCTTATATGGTCTCAAGCAGTCTCCTCGAGCATGGTTCAGTCGCTTCAGTTCTGTTGTACAGGCGTTTGGCCTAATTCGCAGTAAAGTTGACCATTCTGTATTCTATAGGATTACATCTCCTAACAAGTGCATCTATTTGTTAGTCTATGTTGATGACATCATCCTCACCGGAAGTGATCAAGACGGAATCCATCAGTTAAAACAACATTTATTCAGTGCATTTCAAACAAAGGACCTTGGGAAGTTGCGTTACTTCTTGGGAATTGAGGTGGCGCAATCTAGACAGGGCATTTCTATCTGTCAAAGGAAGTATGCCTTGGATATCCTAGAGGAAACTGGTATGTTGGGGTGTAAACCAGTTGATACACCAATGGATCCTAATGTTAAGTTATTGCCCAGACAGGGGGAGCCGTTATCTGATCCTGGACGTTATCGAAGGCTGATTGGGAAGCTCAATTATCTTACTGTGACTAGGCCAGATATTTCTTTCGCTGTCAGTACGGCCAGTCAGTTCCTTGATTCCCCTTGTGATTCACATTGGGATGCTGCTGTGAGGATCCTCCGATACATCAAAGGAGCACCAGAAAAAGGTTTGTTGTATTCGGATCAGGGAAATACAGAAATTTGTGGTTACTCAGATGCCGATTGGGCAGGATCACCCTCGGACAGACGCTCTACTTCTGGTTATTGTGTCTTCTTCGGAGGAAACTTAATCTCATGGAAAAGCAAGAAACAACCTGTTGTTTCCCGATCTAGTGCAGAAGCTGAGTATCGTGCAATGGCAAATACTACCTGTGAGTTGATCTGGTTAAAGCAGTTGATTCAGGAGCTTCATCTTTGTGAACAGAAACAACCCATGACACTCATCTGTGATAATCAAGCTGCGCTACATATATCCTCTAATCCTGTTTTTCATGAGAGGACCAAACATATAGAGATTGATTGTCACTTCATTCGGGAAAAGATTCAGTCAGGAGAAATCAAGACAGCTTTTGTCAACTCGTCTAATCAACTAGCAGATGTTTTCACTAAAGCTCTTAGAGGTCCTCGGGTTGAATACATTTGTAACAAGCTTGGTGCTCATAATATATACGCACCAGCTTGAGGGGGAGTGTTAGAATATTAGATATAATATGATTAGATTTGATTAGATATGATTGGATTCTGTCTTATCCGTAAATAGTCTGACTGTATTCTGACTGTATTAGGATTAGGTTTGGATTAGGTTTGGGCCTTACACTTAAGCCCATTAGGGTCTCTATATATTGTAACTCCCTGACACAGATCTATACACAACGTATTCTTTTACATTTAACTAATAGGAACCTACAAAATAAAGATAGAGAAAACTGATAATGTAATATTTACAACTCAATAAAGTATATTATATTTCCAAAGGACAATATAAAATGGAGTTCTTTGAAGTCAAATACCTGATGGAATTCTATAAGAAGATCATTGCTTACAAGATATCTCTCAACTGATAAAGCAGCAACACATCCAGATCCAGCAGCAGTTATGGCTTGCCTCCATTCATGGTCCTATTGAGAGTTAGAAGTGTTGAAATTATAGGGATTTAGGTGTAGAGGGAGAAAAGGGAATACTTAGAATTATAAAATTATATTAAATCATTGATATTATTGTGAAGGATGTGTTATGATGTTATGAGATATGTTCCAGTTATTCTAACACACACCCTCAAGTTAAAGCTTATTACAAAATAACCCTTTCAAAAGGAAAAATAACCAAACAATATAATCTGGGCTCCACAAACCATGACTAAAAAGGAAACCACGGGATGCTAGAGATGTCAGAGAGATGAGCATTGCTGGAAAGACAACTTAGTAAGATGGCCAGAATGATCATCATCCTGAAGAGTTTGTTAGAATGTTGCATGACCAAGGAAGAAGAGACTTGGTTGGAATGATCATCAATGAAAATTTATTGGAAAGCAATTATACACAACAAGAACTAAAACTTCTCCAAATTCATCAAGAATAATATTTGGCTGCTTCAAACCACAAGAAAATTAAGGAGACCCAAAAAAAATTGAATTTGAAACTAAGGCTAGTGTGCATCAAAACCATGGAGAATTCATCACTGATATGAACTCATCTCTGAGAGGAGAAATCATCAATGATGATTCATAATATGTGGCTGGTATGAATCACATTTAATTCGTCATTATATGACTCTCTTAAAAAAGAAATCACTGGAAAAGCCGTTAGATGGCGAGACAAGGTTGGTTCAGCCTAAAACCACCGAGAATGATCCGATTTGGAGAGGTACGATGATGTGGGACGAACTGATCTAAGGATTGAACTGCGGCTGTTAGAAAGATGACATGGCAATGGGACGAACCGATCTAAGGATTAGTGAGATAAAACCCAATGATTAAATATGAACTTAGTCAAATGATTTCGTCCTCCTCTAATATAATTCCTCGGAACAATTCTACTTTGTTTTACATTTATTTTAGAGTTAATATAAATCTGCTGAAATAAGCAACTATATCAGGTTACCTGCACGTCTCCAGCAGCAAATACACCTTCAACTGAAGTTTTTGCAGTACCCTCCTCAACTAGTATGTAGCCAGAGTGGTCAAGCTCAACTTGGCCTTCCAAAAGTTGGCTATTTGGTGAATGACCTATTCCATAAAATAGTCCTTTTGCATCAAGCACCGACTCCTCCCCAGTATCAACCTTTCGAACTAAAATGCCAGACATCTGTCCTTTTGTATTGCTCACAAGATCCGCAGCCTCTGTATTGAAGTGCACGGTGACATTGGGATTGTTATATACTCTGAAACATTCGTGATAATCAACCTGTTAAACAAACATTCAGGGAGTTGAAAACTCACATACCAAATGCTTATTAGTATATAACTCACCACATAAAGAAATTTCAATTAAAAAAACTCACATTAACACAAACTAACACTGAAGACAACAAAAATTGACACGTAATACCAAATCCTCTTTTTTCTCTCTCTCTTTAATGCAAAATTATAATACAAACTTTAAGGTATGTTAAGAACTCCCGACAAATTATTGATGTCCTTCAATATATTGGTACCATTTATTTAATGAAAAAAATAACACAAACAGAATGCCCAAAAAATTCACTTAATAGTCAAAAAATACTCATCACCTATCCACGGCTTTCTCTAATGTAAAAAGAAAAAAACAGCTAGCAGAAAACATCTTTATGATACAATGAACTAGAAATAAAAAGAAAGGGAAACAATAAAATATCAGTTGCATACCCTCTACTAAAATATGAGTGGAAAATGAAAGGAGATGTTATAAAATATCAGTTGCATACCCTCTACTAAAAAAAATTAGAGAGAGAGAGAGACCTGAGAGAAACAAAAAGGAATACATGTTGAAGTGTACAGTAGCTGGTAGTTACATTAGAAACCACATAAAAGACAAATGAGCTTCAAAATATTTAGAACCTCAAGGAGGACTCCAATTTATAGGTTATATTGCTAGGACTAGATTACTCATATAAAGATCACTGCATAACTAAACATGCTTTGCAAATTTATTTCTGCCTTAGCAACTACCAATTAACAATATTAAAAGAATTGGGAAATGTTAATCCGACCACCTATCTTGCATGGCTTTGGAGGCCCTTAGTTCATCCCGCCGTACTAATAAGTGAACATGACGAGCATATTTAGTCAAGTATAATGCTTCCTCAGTAGCTGTATCCCCCCCTCCAATGACAGCAAGAACTTGACCCTTAAAGAGAGGTGATGCTCCATCGCAAATTGCACAAGCACTAATTCCTCGGCACCAAAATTCATCTTCCCGGGGTAGTCTAAGTCTTTTTGCAGCAGCTCCAGTGGCAAAAATGACAGTATGGCACTTAACCTGAATCATAACATAGATATTAGTACACCAACAACCTTTTTTTTAAAAGAAACACAAGAAAGATATTGAACAAACAATTCGATCAGAATGTATGTTACTCAAAATTCAAATGTAATGGCAATCATTTCAGCACATATTCTATAATTTCAATGACTTTCATGACTCGCATCTTGACCAAGATACACAATAAATTAATTTCTATATTTAACTCGTTACCAAATATGTACAATATTTTTAAGTTTGACACCATAATAGAAGAGCATCACAGAGCACATTCAAATAAGTTAAACTAAAAGATATGACATAGAAGAATAAGGGACATCAACATACAATAATCTGTGCAATAATGAAATTGTAAATCAGCTTGCGACTAACAAACATATCACCTTACGATCAGTACTTTGGACAGTGAAAGGGCTACTTTTTACATCAACAACTTCAACATCTTCTTGATACAATTCAGCCCCCCATCGTTCGGCTTGCCGTCGCATCCTAGATAGGTTATAAAACATAAAAACCACAAGGTCTTTATGTGAATGAGTTACAAAAGAACACAAGCGATGACAATTTTTCTTTTTTTCTTTTTTAATTTAGTTTTCAGAAAGAACCTGTCCATGAGATCTGGTCCAGTTATCCCATCAGGAAATCCTGGAAAATTCTCAACTTCAGTAGTAGTCATCAACTGCCCCCCAGGAACACCACCCACTTGGTAACCCTCAAACACTACAGGTTTCAAATTGGCACGTGCTGCATATATTGCTGCTGTGTACCCTGCAGGCCCTGAACCTATAATTACCAAATTCTCAACACCCTCTCCTGTGAGAACAAAAAAGATGCCACTGTCAACTTTGCATATTCTTCCAAAATACAACAGTATGTCCAATAACAATAACTTTATCTAAAGTGGCAAGCCAATGTTTTGTTCTTAGTTAAGGCATGTTTGGCTTTGATTATTTTTGAAGAAAAATCGCTTCTTAATTTTATTTTATTTTTAATTTTTAAAAGCTCCCTGATTATTAGTAGTTTTGAACACAAAATAAGCTAATCAAAACACATGCTAATTGTTATCAAAAAAAAAAAAAAACACATGCTAATTGGTAATCTCATTCTACAATAGCGAAATTGTAAACCGTTTCTTCTTCTTCTTCTTCTTCTTCTTCTTCTTTATTGAAGTAGAAACTCTAATTCCTATATATTGGAATTGGCAATTCAACTATTCAAGCTACGAAAAAAAGGAACAAAATGCATGTAAAAAACTGAACCTCATATTCTCTGAAACGAGACAAGATAACTAAAAAAACATGATCCGTAAATGGAGTAACCTGAGGAGGATGGAGCGTCGACGGAGGAGGCTCGGAGCTTGAGGCTGAGGCTGAGGAGTGAAGGACGAGTGCGGAGCGGGTGAACTCGGGGCGGAGGAACGGCGTTGGAGGATATCGTGACTCGGTGAGTTGGGACGATTCCCATTCCAATGTTGGCACCAACCATTGGTTTCTTTCAGTTTCAGACCACACAATGCTAAGGCCTAAAGAGTAGAGTGAGCGCCAGTTAGTGACACACACACACAAACACCAACTGTTATAATAGAACTGACACAAACGCCAAACAGTGAAATAAAATGAATAAATATTTTATATTTTAAAACTTAAAATAAAAATAAAAATAAAAATGTCCCTCCTCTCAATCCTCCCTTATACTTCAATCATGAAAGCAATTAATATTATGGAGTCGTTACCAATTTTTTAAAGAGATACGATCCTTTTACAATTTTTTTTTTGTAAAATATACTAAGTACGATTGGTAATACATTGAATGATTAAAATATGACCGATTGTACTTAGTGTAGTTTGTAAACAAAAAAGTTTGTAAATATAACCTGTCTTTTTTTTAAATGCTAATATTTTTATTAGTTAGCCTATTGATACAAGCAGTAGTTATGTTTACAATTTTTTTTATGACCTTTTGCAAATATTTTTATTATTATTTATAAAATAATATTAAATGAAAGCTGTTTAATTTTCATTGTACGGTAATAAAAATAATTGTAAAGGAAAAAAAATTATAATACAATTCCAAAGACTTATTATTATAAGATGTTAAATGAGGTGCAAAGATGACCGGACTCCGGACCTCGTTTATAACCAAAAATATATTTAAGGTAGGAGTTATTGAATGAAATGAATCATTTCATATTAAATAAAAGATTTTATAAGAGTTATGTTGTAGGAAAAATAATTGTATCATGTTAATGAGATTCATTTTTTGTGCTTTAGTTTTTTTTTTTTTTTTTGCTTCAAAAAATACTACCTCACAAAATGTTGTGTGTGTAAAAAACTTTACCATGTCATGCTAAAGGATAAACAAAAACCCCTTAAATAAAATAGGATATAATTATGTTAAAAGATCACAATTATATAAAAGTAAATTAATGGTAATGATTATATAATTATCTATTTTAATATTTTTCTTTTTTTCTTATCACAATTGATTTACTTTTGTATGATTATGATTCTTTTACATAATTATATTATGTTTTATTTAATATGAGAGGTTGAAGCAAAATCAACATAATAGAAAAAAAAAAAAGTTTAATGGGTTTTTTCAACAACAAAAAATGGTTAATGGGTCAATCACACTACTTACGATTACCTTGTAAATCACACTCCATAGGATGGATGGGCAGAGTCAGTTAAAAAACACAGATAGCCAATGTCGTTCCAAGGGTGGCCTGACCCATACGAAAGCCCAGATTTTGTTAAACGCTGTTTCGGCTCAGCAAGACTTTGCGTATAGAATAACCTGTTGCAACCTATTTTATTTTCTAGAATAATAATTATTGTGGTGTATCATTAAATTTGTCTTTTATATCTTAATTTCATTTTCAATTCACTCTTCGTGTGTTGAATTAATTTTAAAAATTTGTAAAATTTTATAGAATAATAATTATGCAAATTAAAGTGAAACTAAATTATAACAAAAAAATGGGAATTTTAAATAATTATAATTACTATCCAAAGTATCGCACATAATAACAAAAAGTACGAAGTATTTTATTCAAAACATTGTAAAAATTATTTTATCACAAATAAACTGGTGTTTATTTTTTTCTTGAACAATAATATCCTGTTATTACATCATTACAAAAAGTAATTTAAATATTATATATGAGAAAAGTTAACGTTATTTCTAGTTTTGATTTTTCTTATGAAGGTATTATATATTATTTGTATCAACTTTGATTTGATTTCATATTAATTCCATGTACCAAACGGTTATATGACTTAAAAAGCTATTTCATTCTTAAAGTGCATATCTAAAAATATTGGAGCTGAGCAGATAATGATGAGAGTATGTGCCTGTTTGGATGAACTTTTATTCCTAAAAAAGTTACTTTTTTTTAAAAGTAAAAGTCATTTTGTGAATTTTTAGATGTTTGGATAACAACTTTTTAAAAAAACAAAATTTAAAATAAAAGTTAAAATGCTGCTTTTTTTTATAGCCACTAGTTGGTTGCTTTTGAAAAAAAGAAGAAATTAAAAGCTAATATAATTTTTTTTTTAGAAAAAAGATAATATAAATTTTTAAAATACAATTTTAACCTTATACTATCATACCTATTTTATCTCTCCTCATCCCACAATCATGCTATTTTATCTCTCTTTTATTGTAATTCTATATATAAAAAGTGTTTTTTTTTTATTTTAACATCCAAATAACTTTTTTATGTAAAAGTGATTTTCAGATCATACATCCAAACGTAAAATAACTTTACCTTTTAGAAAAAGTTATTTTAAAAAAAACAATGCATAAAAAGTCATTTTTTTAAAAGCTCATTCAAACAGGCCCTATATGTTAGATCTTTTTTAATATCATATTTAAAAAAAATTTAAAACTTTAATCCTGAATCGACTCCAAACTCCATATTTGTCCGTAGAAAACCTATAAGATCACCGGAGGATAATCTCAAAAAAAATAAAATAAATTAGAAACACCATTGCAGATTTGCAGCTTATTCAACCCGTATTCAATGTACCAAATCTAACCAAGTTTCTTCGCATTCAAAGTTTCAAGTTGATTATATCACCAATTTTGTTTTATATATCTCCTATATAATAATCACATTCTTGTTGTTTTTTCTTAGACATATATTTTTCACCAGTTAATAAATTGTTCGATCAATTCAATATCAAGTCAGATTGAATTATAAAGACGACAATTTTTTTTTTTTTTATCTAATTTTTAACAAAACATGTACAGCTTATCCAGAATTTGATTTATGTGATCATGTGTCTTCTAGGGAACTTTTTTTCAACTATTCTCGTAATGCGTTTTCAAAGCTATCAATTTTGCCTTCTTCATGTTTCTTTCAATTGACTTATTCAATAGTCTTCAAGGCTATCGGTTTTGCCAATATTCAATCCTCTTAAAAGCCAACTTATCTCACTTCAATTGACCAAACTTTACGGGTAAAGCAAGGTAAAATAATTTACCAAAAAAGAAAAGAAAAGAGAAAAAGCAAGGTAAAATAATATCGTTGAAATTGGTTACCAAAAAAAAAAAAAAAATTATCGTTGAAATTGACCAAATTATATTATCATATGTTGGTGTCATATCCTCGGTTGTTGGGTTCAAATGTTCAATGATGTCAACAACGGTAGTGTTTCTATGTTACAACTTGAACAAATTGCACATCGACATTATTACGAGGACGAAGAAGAGACAGTGTTAGCTGTCTAGGTGTCGAAAAATGGTAAGATGGCCGGTGATAAAACACAAATTCTCCTTTTTGTTCTAGTAAAAAAAAAAAAACTTCATAACGAAATAAGTTCATCTAAAATAATTAAACTTGTTTGTTTCCAAAATAAAAAATAATAATAATTAAACCTTTTTATTTGTTACATTAATTATCTAAAGCTTAAGTATGAATACACTTAAACTCTTAAGCTAGTTAACTAACAATATGATTAACTGACCAACATTATATGCAAATCCTATGAGCACCTCCCCCAATAAAAACAACCTTATCCCAATATTATTGAAGAATATAAAAGGTGCTTTTAATAGAGCATGGCAAAAATACCAACTACTATATTTCTTTGAAGCTTAGACTTCTAACACGTCCTGCCACTTGTCTTAGTAAAATATCTTCCACATTATACTCACAATACACATGTCTACAGATGGTAGTGCAACGTGCTTGTGCATCCTGAAGTCTGTGAAATCTTTGGCCACGAAGGGTGTAAACAAGACAAGAGTAGAAGAAAGAGTGTTTAAGGCATGGAAAATGTTTTGTTGGCCATAAATTTTGTGCTCAATCTTATACGAGGCAATTTTCTTTTCATAAAAAGGGGAGCTAGCAAGGAAACTTGGAAACGTGTTTGGAAAAATAATTTTTTGATTTTTAGACCAAAAAAATCTATTTAATAAGGTCTGTTTTATAAAAAAAATTGGACCTATTTTTTTTGTTTTTAATCTAATTTAGAAAACATATCTGAGTTATTTTTATTTTTAATTTTAATTTTCAAAACAAAGAATATAGAAAATACTTATTTTATTAACTATTTTACAAAATAATTATAAAAAAAAAAACAAGAACCCTATCAAACACAACCCTAATTTATATAAAGCTAGGTCGTACTTAATGTACGTTCTTTTCAAGATGATGACTACAACACGATTGGGACACATCTACGTCTTACTAGTTTGTCTTGACCACTTTAAGTAATATATATATATATATATATATATATATATGTATATATTGATTTTCTCATGTTGTATGGGAATTGAATTCTCATGTTCTGACTTAACTAGTGGTGGATCCCACATTTATTGAAAAGAAAAGAAAAGTTTTGTACGCAATCGAAGAGTCACAACATGAGAATTGAATTCTCATGTAATATGACAAAATATTTTTCACACACACACCCACATATATATATATATATATATATATATATATATATATATGGAAAAAGTGTTTGTCATTTTAAATGACAGAAAGTTATATCATTTTAAGAGAGATACAGACACAAAAAATTTGAATTTTAAATTAAAAAAACCACTCACTTGATTTCTATTTTTCTGTGTCTATCTCTCTGCTAAAATGACATAACTTATGTCATTTAAAATGACAAACACCAAACCCTATATATATATATATATATATATATATATATATATATATATATGGAAATGTTATGTTTACAAACTTTTTGTTACTATGTCTGACCGGTCATAATTTAATCAAAAGTGTATGATCAGTCATATTTAGTGTAATTTGTAAACGGATCCTTTCCTGTATATATATATATATATGAAGAAATTTGCACCATAAAAAATAAAGTAAAAAATTAAAGATAGTAACGATAAAAGTTGTGTATATGTAAATACACAACTTTTTAAATGTTATATATCCGTGTTTCCTTTGCTTTGGGGTTTTGGACAAAAACAGGACTTTTTTTTTTGGTAGAATTGGGAAATATACAAGATTCTATGGATATGCCATAGTAAAGTCTCTTCCCATTTTTCATTATA